GTTCTATCTATCGTTTGTTCTATCTATCATTTGTTCCATCTATTGTTCATTCGTTCTATCGTTTTTCTCTATCTGTCTGTCTGTCTGTCGTTCTATCTATCGTTCTATCTATAATTTGTTCTATCTATCTATCTGTCTATCTGACTGTCTGTCTGTCTGACTGTCTGTCTGTCGTTCTATCTATCATTCTATCTATCGTTTGTTATATCTATCATTTGTTCCATCTATTGTTCATTCGTTCTATCATTTTTCTCTATCTATCTATCTATCTATCTATCTATCTATCTGTCTATCTGACTGTCTGTCTGTCTGTCGTTCTATCTATCGTTATGTCTATCGTTTGTTCTATCTATCTATCTGTCTATCTGTCTGTCTGTCTCTGTCGTTCTATCTATCGTTTGTTCCATCTATTGTTCATTCGTTCTATCGTATTTCTCTATCTATCTATCTATCTATCGTTCTATCTATCGTTTGTTCTATCTATCTATCTGACTGTCTGTCGTTCTATCTATCGTTCTATCTATCGTTTGTTCTATCTATCTATCTGACTGTCTGTCGTTCTATCTATCGTTCTATCTATCGTTTGTTCTATCTATCTATCTGACTGTCTGTCGTTCTATCTATCGTTCTATCTATCGTTTGTTCTATCTATCTATCTGACTGTCTGTCGTTCTATCTATCGTTCTATCTATCGTTTGTTCTATCTATCTATCTGACTGTCTGTCGTTCTATCTATCGTTCTATCTATCGTTTGTTCTATCTATCTATCTGACTGTCTGTCGTTCTATCTATCGTTCTATCTATCGTTTGTTCTATCTATCTATCTGACTGTCTGTCGTTCTATCTATCGTTCTATCTATCGTTTGTTCTATCTATCTATCTGACTGTCTGTCGTTCTATCTATCGTTCTATCTATCGTTTGTTCTATCTATCTATCTGACTGTCTGTCGTTCTATCTATCGTTCTATCTATCGTTTGTTCTATCTATCTATCTGACTGTCTGTCGTTCTATCTATCGTTCTATCTATCGTTTGTTCTATCTATCTATCTGACTGTCTGTCGTTCTATCTATCGTTCTATCTATCGTTTGTTCTATCTATCTATCTGACTGTCTGTCGTTCTATCTATCGTTCTATCTATCGTTTGTTCTATCTATCTATCTGACTGTCTGTCGTTCTATCTATCGTTCTATCTATCGTTTGTTCTATCTATCTATCTGACTGTCTGTCGTTCTATCTATCGTTCTATCTATCGTTTGTTCTATCTATCTATCTGACTGTCTGTCGTTCTATCTATCGTTCTATCTATCGTTTGTTCTATCTATCTATCTGACTGTCTGTCGTTCTATCTATCGTTCTATCTATCGTTTGTTCTATCTATCTATCTGACTGTCTGTCGTTCTATCTATCGTTCTATCTATCGTTTGTTCTATCTATCTATCTGACTGTCTGTCGTTCTATCTATCGTTCTATCTATCGTTTGTTCTATCTATCTATCTGACTGTCTGTCGTTCTATCTATCGTTCTATCTATCGTTTGTTCTATCTATCTATCTGACTGTCTGTCGTTCTATCTATCGTTCTATCTATCGTTTGTTCTATCTATCTATCTGACTGTCTGTCGTTCTATCTATCGTTCTATCTATCGTTTGTTCTATCTATCTATCTGACTGTCTGTCGTTCTATCTATCGTTCTATCTATCGTTTGTTCTATCTATCTATCTGACTGTCTGTCGTTCTATCTATCGTTCTATCTATCGTTTGTTCTATCTATCTATCTGACTGTCTGTCGTTCTATCTATCGTTCTATCTATCGTTTGTTCTATCTATCTATCTGACTGTCTGTCGTTCTATCTATCGTTCTATCTATCGTTTGTTCTATCTATCTATCTGACTGTCTGTCGTTCTATCTATCGTTCTATCTATCGTTTGTTCTATCTATCTATCTGACTGTCTGTCGTTCTATCTATCGTTCTATCTATCGTTTGTTCTATCTATCTATCTGACTGTCTGTCGTTCTATCTATCGTTCTATCTATCGTTTGTTCTATCTATCTATCTGACTGTCTGTCGTTCTATCTATCGTTCTATCTATCGTTTGTTCTATCTATCTATCTGACTGTCTGTCGTTCTATCTATCGTTCTATCTATCGTTTGTTCTATCTATCTATCTGACTGTCTGTCGTTCTATCTATCGTTCTATCTATCGTTTGTTCTATCTATCTATCTGACTGTCTGTCGTTCTATCTATCGTTCTATCTATCGTTTGTTCTATCTATCTATCTGACTGTCTGTCGTTCTATCTATCGTTCTATCTATCGTTTGTTCTATCTATCTATCTGACTGTCTGTCGTTCTATCTATCGTTCTATCTATCGTTTGTTCTATCTATCTATCTGACTGTCTGTCGTTCTATCTATCGTTCTATCTATCGTTTGTTCTATCTATCTATCTGACTGTCTGTCGTTCTATCTATCGTTCTATCTATCGTTTGTTCTATCTATCTATCTGACTGTCTGTCGTTCTATCTATCGTTCTATCTATCGTTTGTTCTATCTATCTATCTGACTGTCTGTCGTTCTATCTATCGTTCTATCTATCGTTTGTTCTATCTATCTATCTGACTGTCTGTCGTTCTATCTATCGTTCTATCTATCGTTTGTTCTATCTATCTATCT